ATTCCCACAGGGCCTACCCAGTCATGAAAGTTAATAAAATATTTCATGTAAGATACTCAGTTATATTGAGAGCTTAAAGTATAACTCCTCTCAGGCAACATTTGCATTTTCACAAATGCTCTCAGTCCCCATCTCGAAAGAATGAATAGTATTGGCATGACTATACTTTACAGCAAGTATATACCTTATAATAATACCAAGGAAAAAGGTGTTTTTTAAAAAAGCTGAGGGTCTTTTAATCAAAATTACCTTGGTGCTGCCTGAAGTGTGTAGGTGCACAGATGAATCAGGAATTGCTTTTGATTGCCAATGATGGGCAATCTTAAAGTAGTGACCTAAGCAAATCAGGGGTTTATTTTTCTTCATCTAAAAATGTCCCAAGTTCAGCATTCGAGGGCCAGTGTAATGGGTCCATGATACCTAAAAGTCCTAGACTTCTGTCTTTCTGCTCCAACAACCTGTAATAGCTGGCTCCCGTACATTTGCCTCTTGATTACAGTATGGCTAATGCATCTCCAACCCTAGAAGGAGGGGATTGGGGCAAAAGCAAGACCCTTTTAAGTAGCTTTTCAAAAAGTTCCAACAGCTTTCACCTACATGTGACTGGCTACCTCTGCTAGCAAGGAACTGGCTGGGAAATGTTGTTAGCTAGGCATGTTGCCATGATACGTATCTGTAACTAAAGAAGAAAGGAAAAAGCTCTCCAATATGCAACTAGTTATCTTACAGAAATTCAAATTGGGGCAAATAATCTGTTATCTTCTGTCTTTATGGGATTATTCAAATAAAAAATACTTAGAACTAAAACCTAGCTTATTTTAGTCAGTGTTATATTAGGATTGCCTTTAAGGTGGTAATTATTTTAATGAATATAAGGAATTATAAGACCATTCAGAAAAATATATAGAAAAATAGTGTGCTCATTGTTTGCATAGTACTATGCTTGGTGCTAAGGAGATGAGTGAATTCTTTTTGCCCTCAAGTGTTTTATCAGTCTAATAGTCCAGGACATAGATACTTGAAAATTTAAATAACGGTATATTATATCATATGATTATGTATTAATCACATAGTAAAACTAAATCATATAGATTAAATTCTATAGGAGAAATTCAGAATCCAGAGAGTGATGATTGTGACTATGGTGGCCAAGGAAGACCTACGAAAGGTAGGAAATGGATAGATTTGAACAGGCAGACATGAATGGTGGAGGCCAGGCCCCTACCTTTGATTTGTACCACCTGTTATTGTAGCATATTTAAATTAATATATTTGATTTACTTACACTATTTGAATTTTTTTAGTGTTTTAAAATATTATTTCTATTTTAAAAATTGACCCAAGCTTTAACTTATATTTTAAGAGAAAAAAAATTCACACCAAAATCATAAATGTAATACCAATTTTACTGGCCAACTAAAATGTAACTTAAGAAAATGACAATAAGATTTTAACATAATGAAATAGAAGTAACAGTATACCTGAGTCAAATTAAGTTCTTTAGAGGGGAAAATGGACCATTCTGTGATTAGTATGTAGTAAAGGGATATTTGGTTCAGTAGCATGCTGTTTAAGACAAAGGTGAGCTTCTATATCCAAAAAGACAATTCTGGTTCTTAATGTTAACCAGCAGCAACAATTCCAATTCACACAAATATAAAGTTGGAAATACGTAAATATGTTTAAGACTGTCTCTTATAAGCTGTTTGTACAATCAGTTTTTAACTAAAATGCTGTCAAAGACTTTTTTTGGAGCAAACGTTTGTTTCAAGAAGCCATGTTAAGGCCATTTTTAGAGTTCTCTTCTTTTGAATGTATCAGATTTTGGATAATGTTCAAAAAGTGGTAGTACAAAAGAGTTCCTTTGCTATTTACCACTACCATCTTGTTTGGGAAAATACTTAGGAAAACCTCTGATAAGTTCAAAATATTTTTACTGAATTCTTCATTTGAGTTTACAACACAGTGTTTTAGGAAGTAAAGGGATGTTTGATAGTTGCCGTTTGTTTAAACGGACGAATGAGGTTATTAAACTGAATCCCCAAGTTCTGGTGTTCTGAATCTAGCATTCAATAATAGTAAGAAAAGTTATTTTTTTCTCTTCTACCAGGGTTGGGGTACTATGCTGAATGTAGCATATGTACATATATCATTTAGTTCTCCCCATTTTACAGTTGAGACTGAGACTTAGAAAATGACTTGCCCGGTCACTTAGAGGGCCCAGTGACTCTAACTTGAATTCGCATGTATTGGACTTGATCCAAACACTTAACTGCCCAGTCACTGAATGAGAATTGGGCACTAGTGCTCTGCCGCCGGATTCCCAGAGCCCCGAGCTCTGAGCTCACCGTGGCTCGGTCAGTCTGCCGAGACCCCATCCCTGCTGAGCACTTCGTGTACACACAGGTGCTGAGCGTGCAGGCTGAGGGGCCACCACTAAAGGCTTTGATACAGAAAAGAAAGGAAATAGCCGTGCCCTGTCCTGCCCTCCACTGTGCCTCCTTTCTGCCCAGCCTCCTAGTGCTCCTCCTCCTCAGCACATGCACAGCCAGTGGCACAGACCCTCACTCCTCAGGAATCACTGGAGGGAATGACGACTAGAGGTCAACCGGCTCAGATCCTCTAGGGCTTTGACTGGCAAAACTAAAAGTTTGACCTCTATTTTGTACGTGATTAGGAGGACCCTGACAACGTTATCTTTAAATTAGGGTAGATAAAAATCAGTGGTTTTCCTTCAAAACACAAAAAACAAAAACATGTCCAGATGGAACACATTATAAGGGGCAAAATTTCTAATTTTATAAGAGCAGACGTATAGTCATGTCACTTTCTAAAGAAACATTGTAAGTTTGTTGTAGTGTCTCCCAAACATTTTCTTGCTCCATCTATAGCAGTTTTTAGAATTGGCACTGCCGAGACTTGGCTTTGGATATAGCAGCATGCAGTTTTTCATAACAACACATTTTGTTGGTGATTCAGGTCAATTATTTAGGAGATAGATTTTTCTTGATGAAAATTTTATCATTTAATGGACAGCCGTCAGTGACACATGTGCATGTAACCATAATGCTGTAGTCTGGTACTAACAGTAATCACTGCCTTTAGGTTTGGGGAGCAAGTGATTTGTTTGATTTTAATTTTGTTTTTAAATTTATTCATTCAGCAAGTAATTTTGAAGTATCTCCTTTGATCATAGTTTTGCCTTGTTTTTGGCAAGGTGGGAGGGCTATACAAAGGCACTTGGTGAGTGCCAGTCATTTGAATATCCCTGAAAAAAAATGAAAGCACCTTTTACTTTTTATAAATGTAAATGAGCAGAAAAAGGAAAATGCTAAAACCTGAGCTCAGAGCACAACCACAGTGCTTTAGGTCTCATCATAGGACTGGCAGAAATAGCAGATTTCATTTTTATTTTAAAGAAAGATGTATGTCATGTCCTGACATAAGCTTTTTAAAAATTGTGTATACTTTTTTCATCAATGAAAAATTTTCATGATACAAAAGTATATGTTACTTTTATTGACATCAGTCCTAACAACACATTAGAGAAAGCACGCAGTATCAGCCTTCTGGATGTCTTTGGTCAGTAGGATTTAGGGGCTGGAGTCATGTGCGACTCATCCTTTTCCTCGCATTTAATTATTCACTAAGTCCTGTCAGAGAGTCTCTTGTCTGTCCTCTCCTTTACCTCTCCTCTGCCAGGACCAGACATCAGACCCTTATCATCACTCATCTGATTTATTATAGCCACCTGAAGATCCTTCTTCCTCCTGAATTCTGCCTTTCTGGTCTATTTTTTTACATGGTGTCAGAGTTCTGTACTTAAAAAAAAAAAAAGGAAAAAAGAAAGAAAAGAAGCGGTTGTATTCCCAACTTCTCCCCCTCTCAAAATCTAATGTCACCTGCTACTTAACAGAAATGTACAAAGCTTAGCATGGTGTTTGCAGGTGGGCCTACACCCTCGGCAGGTCCCTGCAGGACTGCAGTCTGCCTCACACTCTGCGCTAGACCGGACTTCCACATCTCAGACATGCCATTCGGTTGCACAGCTCTCTGCTCCCTGGGTATTGAGCGTGCAATGCTTTTTGGGCGGCATCCGACAGCTGTTATGGAGCTCAGCTCTGACCTTCACACCCCAGCCCAGCATAGGACTGTTTTCCAGGTTCCATGTCAGAGGTTAGTTCCCCATTTTAGACATTCCTACATTATACTGATTGTTACCTTTGCTAGCATTTTTTAAAATTTTGGTTTTGTATTCTAGTGTCTCTTCCTCTTTTATCTTGTGGGCTATTTGCTCTTTAGAAATAATTCTTTGAAGTTGTGGTACTTATAATATGTTAATAAACCTTATTTATTCTTTCTTTAAAAAGTACTTATATACTGTTTCATTAGTTAGATATCCCCCCACCTTTGCTGTTTTAAATGGTACAGCTTTTAAAAGATGAGATTCCCAGTATAGTTTGGAAAATTTTTATAACTTCCTAGTCATTTATTCTCCCAATTTTATATTGTTGTGCTTCATGTAGCTTACATGTAGCTAGACCATTTCCTTTTACATAAAAGGAATAAAAATGCCACAAATAAGATGAATAGGAAATTAATTGAGTGAAATTTTTCCCCTTAAGTTATTACCATAAGTAGGACCACCAGATTTAGAAAGTAAAAATTCTGGATGCCCAGTTGAATTTGAGTTTCAGATAAACAGATAGTTTTTTATTTTAAGTTGTTCCATGCAATATTTGTGTCATGCTTAGACTAAAAGAAGAATCTGTGATTGATCTGGCAGCCATAACCATAATTCAGCTCTCTTACTAACTCAGAGAACTCCTGAGTCACAGAAATTCTGTGCTTGGCCCTTCCATACATTGCTATTTGCTGATCATCCTATCACAACCCAGTACTTGCAGGTATCATACTAGGGACAAGTCTTTGAAGCTCAAAGTGTTTCAAGTATGTTTCCTCACTTACCACATATTTTGGAGGAGAAAGGACAGGGCGTACTCTATTCTCATCTTGCCTACTTCTCATTTTAAAAAGAAGAAAATGCCATCTTCTATAAAGTGATTCTGAAAACTAAGAGGACACCGACAGCAAAACTCAGATTCTCCTTCTCGCTTGCCTCTATTTTTGATTCATTTAGTATGAAATCTCTAAGAGTATCATTACAGATATTTTAGAACTTTAAAAGAGTGATTTCAGAAAGAATATGCATTTCCTATGTGCCTTATAAATGTGAAGGGCAGGTGAAAGTGACTCTTCCAAAACTAACCGTCATGGTGAAAGAGTCTAGCTTCCCTGTCCTCTCCCTCCTCCCTGCACTGGGCCCTCTGCATGACAAATCCTGAGAACCTCTCAACATGCACATCGTGATCCCTGTCATCTGCATTGTAACTAAGGTTTCCTAGGTGATACTCCTTCCTCCAGCCTCTCTCCCTTCCAATTGACAGGTAGCAGTGATTTTTCTGCAACCTAAATGTTACCATGTCACTGGCTCACCTCCTGTGACTACTTACCAGGTAAAGTGCATGCCAATTAGCATGGCATTCAGTGCTCTTCCTGATCTGGGCTCTACTTAATTCCCCTTCTTTTACTTCTTCCTTAGAGCTCAACGCTACAGCAATAACAGTATTTGTAGAGCCTCTTAGCATGCTTTTGTATATCTTCAGCTTGTTGCTCATTGTTCCCTCTGACTAGACTGCATATCCCCTTTTATCTCCCCAGAAAAATCCTGTTCATCCTTGAAAATCCTGTACCGGCTTCATTTGCTCTGAGCCTTTCCCTGACCACCCTTCACTATCCTTGGAGTGAACTCAGCTCTCCTACTTCAATTTTAATATACACTTGTGCTGTCACATGCCTCACTGTGCATTGCAATGGTTTATTTACAATGTTTGCCTCTTGGAGAAGTTTGCAGGTTTTTTGAGGACAAGACATTATCATCATGATCATTTCTGACTCTCTAACTTCTAGCACAGCCTAGAAAATAACAAGCCCATGAGAAGTGTTTCAGAACCAGAAAGGATCAACTGTCTGCCGGGTGAAACTAAGTAAATCCACTGAGCTTTCCTGTGCTCAGCTGTGCACTACCATTCTTGTTCTTTCCTTCCTCTCGTTGGTCAATAGGAAAGTGACTCTTAGCTTTCAGCTAAATAGTTAATCTGCCAATGCTTTTTATTAAATGCAGAATGTTTTTATAGAGTAAATAAAGTATTCCCATACAAAGAGGTAGTCATGGGCAGCCTTATGTAATAAAGACATAGGTTTGCCTTTGGCAACCTTTCCTTTCAGGTTCTATATCCTTTATTTTTGTACCTTCTACCCCAGAGGCTTCCCATCAGGAATGAAGTCAAAGGGTTGGGGTGGAGAGACGAGGGCAGGAGAGGGAGGAAAAGGTTCTTAACTGTAGCATCCTGGTGTTGCTTCTGTTCTTGATTAGTCTTCCTGAAGGAAAACTTATCTGTCTTATGTTCCATTCCCACAGGGCCTACCCAGTCATGAAAGTTAATAAAATATTTCATGTAAGATACTCAGTTATATTGAGAGCTTAAAGTATAACTCCTCTCAGGCAACATTTGCATTTTCACAAATGCTCTCAGTCCCCATCTCGAAAGAATGAATAGTATTGGCATGACTATACTTTACAGCAAGTATATACCTTATAATAATACCAAGGAAAAAGGTGTTTTTTAAAAAAGCTGAGGGTCTTTTAATCAAAATTACCTTGGTGCTGCCTGAAGTGTGTAGGTGCACAGATGAATCAGGAATTGCTTTTGATTGCCAATGATGGGCAATCTTAAAGTAGTGACCTAAGCAAATCAGGGGTTTATTTTTCTTCATCTAAAAATGTCCCAAGTTCAGCATTCGAGGGCCAGTGTAATGGGTCCATGATACCTAAAAGTCCTAGACTTCTGTCTTTCTGCTCCAACAACCTGTAATAGCTGGCTCCCGTACATTTGCCTCTTGATTACAGTATGGCTAATGCATCTCCAACCCTAGAAGGAGGGGATTGGGGCAAAAGCAAGACCCTTTTAAGTAGCTTTTCAAAAAGTTCCAACAGCTTTCACCTACATGTGACTGGCTACCTCTGCTAGCAAGGAACTGGCTGGGAAATGTTGTTAGCTAGGCATGTTGCCATGATACGTATCTGTAACTAAAGAAGAAAGGAAAAAGCTCTCCAATATGCAACTAGTTATCTTACAGAAATTCAAATTGGGGCAAATAATCTGTTATCTTCTGTCTTTATGGGATTATTCAAATAAAAAATACTTAGAACTAAAACCTAGCTTATTTTAGTCAGTGTTATATTAGGATTGCCTTTAAGGTGGTAATTATTTTAATGAATATAAGGAATTATAAGACCATTCAGAAAAATATATAGAAAAATAGTGTGCTCATTGTTTGCATAGTACTATGCTTGGTGCTAAGGAGATGAGTGAATTCTTTTTGCCCTCAAGTGTTTTATCAGTCTAATAGTCCAGGACATAGATACTTGAAAATTTAAATAACGGTATATTATATCATATGATTATGTATTAATCACATAGTAAAACTAAATCATATAGATTAAATTCTATAGGAGAAATTCAGAATCCAGAGAGTGATGATTGTGACTATGGTGGCCAAGGAAGACCTACGAAAGGTAGGAAATGGATAGATTTGAACAGGCAGACATGAATGGTGGAGGCCAGGCCCCTACCTTTGATTTGTACCACCTGTTATTGTAGCATATTTAAATTAATATATTTGATTTACTTACACTATTTGAATTTTTTTAGTGTTTTAAAATATTATTTCTATTTTAAAAATTGACCCAAGCTTTAACTTATATTTTAAGAGAAAAAAAATTCACACCAAAATCATAAATGTAATACCAATTTTACTGGCCAACTAAAATGTAACTTAAGAAAATGACAATAAGATTTTAACATAATGAAATAGAAGTAACAGTATACCTGAGTCAAATTAAGTTCTTTAGAGGGGAAAATGGACCATTCTGTGATTAGTATGTAGTAAAGGGATATTTGGTTCAGTAGCATGCTGTTTAAGACAAAGGTGAGCTTCTATATCCAAAAAGACAATTCTGGTTCTTAATGTTAACCAGCAGCAACAATTCCAATTCACACAAATATAAAGTTGGAAATACGTAAATATGTTTAAGACTGTCTCTTATAAGCTGTTTGTACAATCAGTTTTTAACTAAAATGCTGTCAAAGACTTTTTTTGGAGCAAACGTTTGTTTCAAGAAGCCATGTTAAGGCCATTTTTAGAGTTCTCTTCTTTTGAATGTATCAGATTTTGGATAATGTTCAAAAAGTGGTAGTACAAAAGAGTTCCTTTGCTATTTACCACTACCATCTTGTTTGGGAAAATACTTAGGAAAACCTCTGATAAGTTCAAAATATTTTTACTGAATTCTTCATTTGAGTTTACAACACAGTGTTTTAGGAAGTAAAGGGATGTTTGATAGTTGCCGTTTGTTTAAACGGACGAATGAGGTTATTAAACTGAATCCCCAAGTTCTGGTGTTCTGAATCTAGCATTCAATAATAGTAAGAAAAGTTATTTTTTTCTCTTCTACCAGGGTTGGGGTACTATGCTGAATGTAGCATATGTACATATATCATTTAGTTCTCCCCATTTTACAGTTGAGACTGAGACTTAGAAAATGACTTGCCCGGTCACTTAGAGGGCCCAGTGACTCTAACTTGAATTCGCATGTATTGGACTTGATCCAAACACTTAACTGCCCAGTCACTGAATGAGAATTGGGCACTAGTGCTCTGCCGCCGGATTCCCAGAGCCCCGAGCTCTGAGCTCACCGTGGCTCGGTCAGTCTGCCGAGACCCCATCCCTGCTGAGCACTTCGTGTACACACAGGTGCTGAGCGTGCAGGCTGAGGGGCCACCACTAAAGGCTTTGATACAGAAAAGAAAGGAAATAGCCGTGCCCTGTCCTGCCCTCCACTGTGCCTCCTTTCTGCCCAGCCTCCTAGTGCTCCTCCTCCTCAGCACATGCACAGCCAGTGGCACAGACCCTCACTCCTCAGGAATCACTGGAGGGAATGACGACTAGAGGTCAACCGGCTCAGATCCTCTAGGGCTTTGACTGGCAAAACTAAAAGTTTGACCTCTATTTTGTACGTGATTAGGAGGACCCTGACAACGTTATCTTTAAATTAGGGTAGATAAAAATCAGTGGTTTTCCTTCAAAACACAAAAAACAAAAACATGTCCAGATGGAACACATTATAAGGGGCAAAATTTCTAATTTTATAAGAGCAGACGTATAGTCATGTCACTTTCTAAAGAAACATTGTAAGTTTGTTGTAGTGTCTCCCAAACATTTTCTTGCTCCATCTATAGCAGTTTTTAGAATTGGCACTGCCGAGACTTGGCTTTGGATATAGCAGCATGCAGTTTTTCATAACAACACATTTTGTTGGTGATTCAGGTCAATTATTTAGGAGATAGATTTTTCTTGATGAAAATTTTATCATTTAATGGACAGCCGTCAGTGACACATGTGCATGTAACCATAATGCTGTAGTCTGGTACTAACAGTAATCACTGCCTTTAGGTTTGGGGAGCAAGTGATTTGTTTGATTTTAATTTTGTTTTTAAATTTATTCATTCAGCAAGTAATTTTGAAGTATCTCCTTTGATCATAGTTTTGCCTTGTTTTTGGCAAGGTGGGAGGGCTATACAAAGGCACTTGGTGAGTGCCAGTCATTTGAATATCCCTGAAAAAAAATGAAAGCACCTTTTACTTTTTATAAATGTAAATGAGCAGAAAAAGGAAAATGCTAAAACCTGAGCTCAGAGCACAACCACAGTGCTTTAGGTCTCATCATAGGACTGGCAGAAATAGCAGATTTCATTTTTATTTTAAAGAAAGATGTATGTCATGTCCTGACATAAGCTTTTTAAAAATTGTGTATACTTTTTTCATCAATGAAAAATTTTCATGATACAAAAGTATATGTTACTTTTATTGACATCAGTCCTAACAACACATTAGAGAAAGCACGCAGTATCAGCCTTCTGGATGTCTTTGGTCAGTAGGATTTAGGGGCTGGAGTCATGTGCGACTCATCCTTTTCCTCGCATTTAATTATTCACTAAGTCCTGTCAGAGAGTCTCTTGTCTGTCCTCTCCTTTACCTCTCCTCTGCCAGGACCAGACATCAGACCCTTATCATCACTCATCTGATTTATTATAGCCACCTGAAGATCCTTCTTCCTCCTGAATTCTGCCTTTCTGGTCTATTTTTTTACATGGTGTCAGAGTTCTGTACTTAAAAAAAAAAAAAGGAAAAAAGAAAGAAAAGAAGCGGTTGTATTCCCAACTTCTCCCCCTCTCAAAATCTAATGTCACCTGCTACTTAACAGAAATGTACAAAGCTTAGCATGGTGTTTGCAGGTGGGCCTACACCCTCGGCAGGTCCCTGCAGGACTGCAGTCTGCCTCACACTCTGCGCTAGACCGGACTTCCACATCTCAGACATGCCATTCGGTTGCACAGCTCTCTGCTCCCTGGGTATTGAGCGTGCAATGCTTTTTGGGCGGCATCCGACAGCTGTTATGGAGCTCAGCTCTGACCTTCACACCCCAGCCCAGCATAGGACTGTTTTCCAGGTTCCATGTCAGAGGTTAGTTCCCCATTTTAGACATTCCTACATTATACTGATTGTTACCTTTGCTAGCATTTTTTAAAATTTTGGTTTTGTATTCTAGTGTCTCTTCCTCTTTTCTTTCTTTCTTTTCTTTTTTTTTTTTTTAACACTTGTGTCTTTCTTTTGTGCTGCAGGTGCCCAGGAACTTTGAGCCAACTTTGAAGTGTAAAAAATACAGTCATACTGATTCTTATCTGCAGCATACTTTGTTTCTATTTTCCTTGTCCCTGAATTTCTTTTTCAGTGTTTTATTTATTCTGTAGGATATTGACTCAAAACTTTTGGAGAAAGAGATGTAGTAGGGCTTGAGTGAATATGAATAAATGGGCAGACCATATGTCTGTGAAAGCAGGAACTGTGTCTCGCTCATCTGTGTATCTTCCAGCACTCTGTCTTCATTGCATAAATGAACTGAATTGAATTGAAGCATATTTCTATCTCCACATCTTTAAAAGTAGTAGTTTAAATAATGCTGGCAATAAAATAGAATTGCCAGAGTATAGATAGCAATTTTAAAAACCTTCCCTTCAGAAGTACTAATAATTGACCTAATAAAAGTAGACTTGACTTTCTAGTTGTCTTTTCCTTCAGGTTTGAAGACTGCATAATAACAGGACCATTTACAGTTTTTATGATGATTTCCTGGCTTCCAAACGCACGTGGTAGGGATCCAGGCAGCTTTCTAGTCAAGATGTCACAAGTTTCTCCTTTTCCCTCATTTAGCAATGCTCAGAGAAATAACTCCCTCTAACAAGCATTTAAGTAACACTAAGCTTTATTCAACCTGTCCTCTGTTGGCATTTTTGAGGGCACCAGTGGCATCATTTGACTCTGCCATACTTGGTGGAAGTACTACATTTGGTACTGAACATAATTTTAACCAAACTGTGAACATCTTAGACACCAGACCAACTGCTGATGTAGAACTGGAGACTTCCTGCAGTGAAATCACACATTTATGTAACTTCAACCTAGTTACCAAATTCACTGAAATGCATTAAAAATTGCTAAACACATTCTCTTTTTAAAAACATTAATGGTATGTCATTTTATTTTAAGATAGCAAAGGAAATACAGATTGACCATAAGGTATATTTTGATACATTTAGTAGTAGAACAAATTCTTAAATTCAGTTAAAGTTACTGTGGAAAAATAGATGGCACAGACTAGCCAAGTTGAAATAGGCATTGACAATTTAGCCAATTAATATTAACAAATGTTAAAAATTATTTTTAAAAAACAATGTGCCAGATATTTCACTGGCTCAAAAGAGCTTCCAGGGGTATCTAAAACTTTCAAGAATTCCTTTCCTCATTTAGTAGTAAGGTAAAAAAATTCTTCATTGCCTTAATTCACATTTGCTAACATACATCAAAAGATGATTCTCAACTGAAAACACTCTAAGAATTTCATAAGCATCAAAAGAAAGCAAATGTCTTTTAGTAGAAGCTTCGTCAAATGAATATAAAAATGACCATTTTGCAGTTAAAAAGTGTGCATGCTAATTATAAAAATGGCTAAGGCAGTGTAATACAGAGGAAAGAAATGAATTAGGAATCAGAAGGTGAACTGCATTTGTCTATTAAAAGAGTATCTGAGTCCCTTTAGTGTGTCTGGCATAAGGCATGGCACCAGGCAGAGTGGGGAATGAAGTCATGGCACTGCCCTGGTGAGGATTATAGTACAGTAGGGGAGTTGGACAAAACATAAGGAAACCAAGTGTGGGAAATATTATAAGGAAAGAACAGCAGGCAATGAGGAGAAATGGGATGAGGGTGAGCATGAAGGGGAGTGAATTTTGACTGCACATATGATCAAATATATTTTAGAAGTGAAAAACCTTTAAACATATGTGACTGAGCGGAATATCTAATGGTAAAATATTTTAAATTTGGGAGCAATTATTGAAACTCAATACATATGAAGTTTTAAAATCTAATTCAATGTTATAACAGAATCTGGTATAGTTACCAAAGCATAACCAAAGATTATCAAATTTTCACCATGATTTCAAAAAGCCAGTTAAAAAAAAAGCTATTTGGATGAGTATTGTTTTTTATTTTTTCAGCTGTTTTTGAATTAGGCCATTAGATAGACAGATGAGTAGTGAACAATGAGAGAAATTAACATGTCTAAGGTATCTTTTTAATTGAGATATAATTGACAACATATTAGTTTCAGGTGTAGAACATAATGATTCAATATTTATCGCAATAATTATCACAGTAAGTCTAGTTAAGATCCATCACCACACATAGAAACAAATTGTTTTCTTGTGATGAGAGCTTTTAAGGTCTGTTCTCTTACAACTTTCAAATATACAATGCATTATTAACTATAGTCAGCATGATGTACATTACATCCCCAGGACTTACTCATTTTATAACAGGAAGTTGGTATCTTTTGACTCACTTCACCCATTTCTTCTACCCCTCAACCCTAACCCCTGGCAACCACCAATCTGTTCTCCTGTTCTCTGTATCTAGGAGGGCTTTGTTTGTTTGTTTTTAAATTCCACATGTAAGTGAGATCAGTCTGACTTATTTCACTTAACATAGTATCCTCAAGGTCCATCTATCTTGTCACAAATGGCAAGATTTTCTTCTTTTTTATAGCAGAATAATATTCAGTTATATAATATATATATTGTCGCGACCCTTCAGGGGCCGAGGCAACATGCCCAAGGTCTTGATTCTTCTCTAGGCTTTATTGTCTAATCTCTCACGGCGGTTACAGCAGTTGTCGGGAAGCTTTTTTTCCCTCCCGGTGGACTCCCTTATATTCAGTCACCCAACCAATCCGGGACAGTATCATGCGTGACCTTTAAGCGGATAGGTGTCACGCGCCACTCTAAGCGGGCAGCACGAGCTGTGCACGGGTACGGAAGTCTGCTGGGCCAATCCCCAACAGGGAAGAGGGGAAAGTGTGGTGAGCAGGAAGCAGGCGCCATCTTTAGGGCGTTGTCCAGCTAGAGTGGGGCTCAGCCTCGGCCGTAGGCCGGGCCCCCACATCTCCCCCTTTATTGTTTTATAACCAAAGGGCTGTCGGGATCATGCCTGTCTTAGGTCGTCCGGAGTCTGCGGCATTCTTACCCGTCCTCAGGCAACAGACAGCTTAGGTCTGCGCCCTGTCTTAGGTTGATATGCGCAGCTCCCGATCTTACCCGTCCTTGACTACTGATCCAGCATATTAAGCCATACTCTAGGGGAGATGCCTTCCTCTAGCGCTGCCATGGCCTGCAACAGGACCTTCCGTTCTCCCCGTTGCTGTTTTTGTAACAGACTTTCCTCCCAAGCAGGAGAGGCCCACAATTAGCAATATTCCTATGACACCTACACCTGACCAGGCTTTGGTGGCGTTTAACATCTTGCCTAACTGTCTGGACAAGTTGGCAGCTTTAGAATAATTATGAAAAGGAATACCAGTAATACACCCCCATATAAGAATGGACGCAGCCCACAGACAAAACCTCCCCCAAGAGGTCCAATTGTTCTTGAAGAAGGTTCAGTGGCCTGGGACAGACCATTCAGCGTCTCTGCCGTAGGAATGGTGATAGTCAGCGCGGCGGTGGCTGCAGCTGCAGCTCGGCTCCGCCGTCGCCTGCTGTAGGATCCACGGCAGGAGCAGAAGCAGTGCGATCATCTTGTACCTCTGCTCCGGGGTTTTCCACTCTGCGTATCAGACGTTCAGGCACCCAAACGGGGTTCTGCTGGTCCTGTGGAAAAACACAAACCGAGCCTCGGGTCCAGATTATCACTGGGTCCGGGCCTTTCCATGTTCCTTCCAACACATCCTTCCACAAAACTTTAGGCATGTGTTTTGGATTGGATTGTTGGCCGTGCCACTCTGCTGCACTGTGGCCATTTTTGTCCAGTGTTCTAAAATCTTCTCCTATTCCCCCTTTTTGTTTATATAAGGCATTCTTGAGGGTGAGGTGGGTGTGTTCCACCATACCCTGACCCTGAGGGTTGTCTCTAGCTCCCTGCTGCTCTCATGACACAAAAGGATGTCATCCATATAATGATAGATGATTATCAGGGGAAACTGTTTCCTGACAGTTTGTAAGGCCTTCTTTACATACACATGGTGGGGCTATTAGCCATGCCCTGTGGCAATAAACCTTTGACAGTCTCTGGGGTGAAGCGGGATGGAGAAGAAACAGTCTTTGATAATCTCCACTTGCCAGACTTTTTCCTAATTACAAAAATAGGTGTGTTCCATGGCGAGGTAGAGGGCTGGAGGTGACCAGCTGCTATCTGTTCTTGTACTAAAGTGTGGGCTGCTTCCTTCTTTTCTTTGGTGAGGGGCCACTGAGGTACCCACACAGGCCTTTTTAGGCTGTTTTCCCTCAGTGGCCCCGAAGAAAAACCCAATCCTGGTCCTCCGTCCCCATCCTCTCTCTAAAGGGGGAAGTATCCTAGTTATGATTTAGATGGACTACGTCGCTAATTCCGTGAACCTTTTGATTTCATCGCCACTCTGCGAACCTTTTGATTTCGTCGCCACTCTGCGAACCTTTTGATTTCGTCGCCGCTCTGCGAACCTTCACTGGCGCCTCCTCATTCCATATATTATAATAAACAATGTCACAAACACTAACAGGACACACACACTACACATAATATCACAAACACTAACAGGACACACACACTACACATAAACACCCACCGCAACTGCCTGCTGTCTGCCCAGCCACGTATACTTTCAGTTTACTCGCCGATCCACTCACCCTCCTCGGTTCCCTCTCCCGGTCTGGCCAGCTGACTGAACGGCGTCCAGCGATGTTCATCGGCAGGCACCAGGGTCAGCGGATCAGGTCGCGACGAGGTTTAGCAATTCCCGGGTTTCGGCACCACTTGTCATGACCCTTCAGGGGGCGGAAGCAACACGCCCAAGATCTTGATTCTTCTCTAGGCTTTATTGTCTAATCTCTCATGGTGGTTACAGCAGTTGTCGGGGTGCTTTTCTCCCTCCCGGCGGGCTCCCTTATATTCAGTCACCCAACCAATCCGGGACAGTATCATGCGTGACCTTTAAGCGGATAGGTGTCATGCGCCACTCTAAGCGGGCAGCACGAGCTGTGCACGGGTATGGAAGTCTGCTGGGCCAATCCCCAACAGGGAAGAGGGGAAAGTGTGGTGAGCAGGAAGCAGGCGCCATCTTTAGGGCATTGTCCAGCTAGAGTGGGGCTTAGCCTCGGCCATAGGCCGGGCCCCCACATATATCACATTTTCTTTTCCCATTCATCCATCAATGAACACGTAAGTTGCTTCCATGTCTTGGCTATTGTATAATGCTGCAGCAAGCTTGGGCAAGCATATATCTTTTTGAGTTAGTGTTTTATTTTCCTTTGGATAAATACCCAGAAGTGGAATTGCTGGATCATATGGCAGTCCTTTAATTTTTTGAGGAACCTCCATACTGTTCTCTATAGTGGCTGCACCAATTTATATTCCAACATACTGTGCATGAGAGTACTTTTTCTTTTTTTTTCTTTTTATTTATTTGTTTATTTATTAAGGTATATTGATATACACTCTTATGAAGGTTACACACGAAAAAACAATGTGATTACTACATACACCCATATTATCGTGTCTCCCACATACCCCATTGCAGTCCATACCCATCAGTATACTAAGATGCCACAGGGTCATTATTTGCCTTCTCTGTGCTACATGTCTTCCCCATGATTCCACACCATGTGTACCAATCATGATACCCCTCAATTCCCTTTTCCCTCTCTCCCTACCACCCTCCCCCACCCTTCCACTATGGTAACTGCTAGTCCCTTCTTGGCGTCTGTGAGTCGGCTACTATTTTGTTCCTTCAGTTTTGCTTCATTGTTACACTCCACAAATGAAGGAAATGATTTGGTACTTGTCTTTCTCCGCCTGGTTTATTTCACTGAGCGTAATATCCTCCAGCTCTATCCATGTTGTTGCAAATGGTAGGATTTATTTCTTTCTTATGGCTGAATGGTATTCCATTGTGTATATGTACCACATATTCTTTACCCATGCATCTATTGAAGGACACTTAGGTTGCTTCCATATCTTGGCTATTGTAAATAGTGCTACAATAAACATAGGAGTGCACATATCTCTTTGAATATGAGAAATTATATTTTTTTGATAAATTCCTAGGAGTGGAATGGCATTTCTATTTTTAGTTTTTTGAGGAACCTCTCCATTTTGCTTTCCACAGTGGTTGAATTAGCTTACATTCTCACCAGCAGTGTGGGAGGGTTCCCCTTTCTCCACATCCTTGCCAGCATTTATTGTTCTTAGTCTTCTCAATACTGGCCATCCTAATTGGCATGAGGTGATATCTCATTGTGGTTTTAATTTGCATTTCCCTGATAATCAGTGATGTGGAACATCTTTTTGTGTGTCTGTTGGCCATCTGAATTTCTTCTTTGGAGAATTGTCTGTTTATATCCTCCACGCATTTTTTTATCAGGGTATTTGCTTTTTGGTTGTTGAGTCGTGTGAGTTATTTGTATATTTTGAATGTTAACCCCTTATCAAATATATCATTTACAAATGTATTGCACTTTACTGTAGGATGCCTTTTTGTTCTGTTGATGGTGTCCTTTGCTGTACAGTAGCATTTTAGTTTGATGTAGTCCCATGTGTTCATTTTTGCCTTTTTTCCCTTGCTCGAGGAGATGCATTCAGAAAAAAGTTGCTCATGTTTATAATCAGGAGATGTTACCTTATGTTGTCTTCTAAGAGTTTTATGGTTTCATGACTTACATTCAGGTGTTTGATCCATTTCAAGTTTACTTTTGTTTTTGGGGATAGACAATAATCAGTTTCATTCTCTTGCATGTAACTGTCCAGTTTTGCCAACACCAGTTGTTGAAGAGGCTGTCATTTCCCCATTCTATATCCATGGCTCTTTTATCATATATTAATTGACCATATGTATGATCATATGTACTTGGGTTTATATCTGGGCTCCCTAGTCTGTTCCACTGGACTGGGTCTCTTCTTGTGCCAGTACCAAATTGTCTTGATTACTGTGGCTTTGTAGTAGAGCTTCAAGTCGGGGAGCATAATCCCTCCTGCTTTATTCTTCCTTCTCAGGATTGCTTTGGTATTCGGGGTCTTTTGTGGTTCCATATGAATTTTGGAACTATTTTCTCTAGTTTGTTGAGGAAAGCTGTTTGTATTTTGATATGGATTGCATTGAATCTGTAGATTGCTTTAGGCAGGATGGCCATTCTGATAATATTAATTCTTCCTATCCATGAGCACGGGATGTATTTCCATTTACTGGTAACTTCTTTAATTTCTCTCATGAGTGTCTTGTAGTTTTCAGAGTATGGGTCTTTCACTTCCCTTATTAGGTTTATTCCTAGTTATTCTTTTTGATGCAATTGTGAATGGAATTGTTTTCCTGATTTCTTTTTCTTCTAGTTTATCATTAGTGTATAGGAATGCAACAGATTTCTGTGTATTAATTTTGTATCCTGCAAGTTTGCTGAATTCAGATATTAGATCTAGTAGTTTTGGAGTGGATTCTTTAGGGTTTTTTATGTACAATATCATGTCATCTGCAAACAGGGACAGTCTGACTTTTTCTTTACCAATCTGGATGACTTTTATTTTTTTGTGTTGTCTGATTGCCATGGCAAGGACGTCTACAACTATGTTGAATAAAAGTGGGGAAAGTGGGCGTCCTTGTTTTGTTCCCGATCTTAAAGGAAAAGCTATGGGTTTGTCTTTTATGACCTTTATTATCTTGAGGTACTTGCTCTCTATACCCATTTTGTTGACAGTTTTTATTATGAATGAATGTTGAATTCTGTTAAATGCTTTTTCAATGTCTATGGAGATGATCATGTGGTTTTTGTCCTTTTTGTTGATGTGGTGGATGATGTTGATGGATTTCCTAATATTGTACCATCCTTGCATCCCTGAAATAAATCCTACTTGATCATGATGGATGATCTTTTTTATGTATTTTTGAATTCGGTTTGCTAATATTTTGTTGAGTATTTTTGCATCTATGTTCATCAGGGATACTGGTCTGTAATTTTCTTTTTTTGTGATGTCTTTGCCTGTTTTTGGTATTAGAGTGATGTTGGCCTCATAGAATGAGTTTGGAAGTATTCCCTCCTCTTCTACTTTCTGGAAAACTTAAAGGAAAATCCATATTAGGTCTTCACTAAATGTTTGATAAAATTCAGCATTGAGGCCATCTGGTCCAGTGGTTTTGTTCTTAGGTAGTTTTTTTTATTACAATTCAATTACATTGCTGATAATTGGTCTGTTCAGATTTTCTATTTCTTTCTGGGTCAGCCTTGGAGGGTTGTATGTTTCTAGAGACTTGTCCATTTCTTCTAGGTGATCCAATTTGTTGGCATATATTTTTTCATAGTATTCTCTCATGATGCTTTGTATTTCTGTGGTGTCCATACTGATTTTTCCTTTCTCATTTCTGATTCTGTTTATGTGTGTAGACTCTCTTTTTTTTCTTGATAAGTCTGGCTAGGGGTTTATCTATTTTGTTTATTTTCTCAAAGAACCAGCTCCTGCTTTCATTGATTCTTTCTATTGTTTTATTGTTCTCAATTTTATTTATTTCTGCTCTAATCTTTATTATGTCCCTCCTTCTACTTACTTTGGGCCTCATTTGTTCTTCTTTTTCTAGTTTTGTTCATTATGAGTTTAGACGTTCATATGGGATTGCTTTACTTCCCTAAGGTAGGCCTGTATTGCAATACATTTCCCTCTTAGCATGGCCTTTGCTGTGTCCCCCAGATTTTGCATTGTTGAATTATTATCATCATTTGTCTCCATATATTGCTTGATCTCTGTTTTTGTTTGGCCGTTGATCCATTGGTTACTTAGGAGCATGTTGTGATGCCTCCATGAGTTTGTGGGCTTTTTCATTTTCTTTGCATAATTTCTAGTTTTATACCTTTGTGGTCTGAGAAGCTGCTTGGTACTATTTCAATCTTTTTTAATTTACTGAGACTCTTTTTGTGACCTAGTATATGGTCTATTCTTGAAAATGTTCCATGTGCACTTGAGAAGAATGCTTATCCTGCTGCTTTTGGGTGGAGAGTTCTATAAGTGTCTGTTAGGTCCATCTGTTCTAATGTGTTGTTCAATACCTCTGTCTCCTTACTTATTTTCTGTCTGGCTTATCTGTCCTTTGTAGTGAGTGGAGTGTTGAATCTCCTAGAATGAATGCATTGCATTCTATTTCTCCTTTTAATTTTGTTAGTATCTTTTCACACATGTAGGTGCTTCTGTGTTGGGTGAATATATATTTATAATGGTTATATCCTCTTGTTATATTGACCCCTTTATCATTATGTAATGTCCTTCTTTGTCTCTTGTGACTTTCTTTGTTTTAAAGTCTATTTTGTCTGATAACAAGTACTGTACCTCCTGCTTTTTTCTCCCCATTAGTTGAAATATCTTTTCCATCCCTTCACTTTTACTCTGTGTATATCTTTGGGTTTGAAGTGAGTCTCTTGTAGGCAGCATATAGTTGGGTATTGTTTCTACCATTCAGTGACTCTTATATCTTTTGATTGGTGCATTCAGACCATTTATAATTAGTGTGATTATCGATAGGTATGTACTTATTGCCATTGCAGGCTTTAGATTCATGGTTACCAAAGGTTCAAGGGTAACTTTCTTATTATCTGTAAGAGTCTGACTTAACTCACCTAGTATGCTATTACAAACACAATCTAAAGGTTCTTTTTTATTCCCTCCTTTTCTTCCTCCTCCATTCTTTATATATTAGGTATCATATTTCTATACTCTTTGTGTATCCCTTTTTATTACCTCTGGTGACAGCTATTTAACCATAGGAACACCTCCATCTATAGCAGTCCCTCCA